ATTGAGTAGCATAAGTTGGATCCCTTTTGTCAAAAGACCAGTAAGACTTATCAAAAGTAAATGCTTTAACATCATCAGTATCATCAGGTCTGGTAATAATAGTTTGATTCCCCTCCGTTATGATGAGGCATTTTGCCCCTCGAGCAATTTCTATTAAAAAAAAAGTTTTTTTAATCATAATTATACTTGGAGAAGATTATTCTTTTAAATGATAGTTTTTACTCTAGCATATCAATTCATCAACGAAAGATAACAGTTTTATGATGAGAGTTTATTTTCTTACCTCTTGAATTTAAAGGACGACATCTGACAACTACTTTTATATTTTCCCCGCTCATTTTGAAAATATGTAATTACGAGAAGACCATTGATAACACATATAGATAGAAGTCACACTAAATCCCATTTTACATATTGCAATACACAAAATGCGTGTTACAGATAGAAAGAAAGTGTCAAGTCATAATCTTTAATTAAAAACAGAGTGAAGAGATTTTAAGTAAACATCCTCTTGTTGATATAATAATTGATCAAAGATTTAGTTCAAATATATAGCCCATCAAACATTATGGTTAAAGTTAGCACCCGTAATGTAAAATTACGGCATTGCAGTGTTGCGACTCGTGTTGCAACAAATACAGCTTGGAAAGTCGGAATTTACGATATTGCAACTAACCGCAATACTTGTTATAAATATTTATGTAATAGTAATGTTACATTCAAATAAAAAGTAGATCACAATCCTTATTTTCTAGTTATCAATTTCTTTTCTCAAGAGTTTTATACCATTTCTCTTATAATAATTAAAGATGGATTTTGTTACTGATAACAAAAACAAACTTGGTCCAAAGTACGTCAATTTGAAATTTATTAATATTGATTAAAATTTGGGGTGTTTGAATACAAATTTCTGATTGGCTAATTTGAATTTCACGCGTGTTTCAGAATATTTTACATGTGGTAACCACCTTGGTAATGGACATTACCAAGATACATGTAAATCTATGTTTAAAGATACCATATCAAATGTTTTATAATAATGATGTTTTTAAAAATGAAACAATATAAATAGAAAATTGGTTTGACTGCATCGTAATTATGTTGCAATACTATGTATAGTAATAGTTTTTATTTAATATGTAAAGTTGCGGGTATGTTGTAACATTTGATATTTGATTACAGAGGACAAGCTTAATCATTTTTTAACTTCTATGAAGTTATTGATGTTGGCCGAATTACTCGTCGCCGAAGTTAATTTTTTAAACTGAAATTATTTAATCTGAAATAAAAAATCAAATAGCAAGTTCCCAAGATTATGCATATAAAATTACATGTTTCAATATTTTCTGGAACTTTGTCAATTAAAAATAAAAGAAATCCGTTTGCTTTCGAAAAAAAGTATATAAACCCTTTGATCAGACAGAACATTATACTGCTTATCTTGAACAGTAATAATAAGCAAGCTGGCAAAGATATGTGAAACACATATTTTATTGTTTTTTATGTAAAATGCATTATTTTCTACACACTGTAGCTCGAAAAGCAAAGAAGGGTTTGTTACTGTTATTCTTGGAATCAATTAAACAGACATCTGATAATGTGATTTACACGAGAACAGGTTTGGTATAAATATTGTTGCTAACAAAATTATCATTGATACATATAATGCAAGATAAATATGATTTAGTAAAAAATTATGCTAATAACAATATATTCAGAGGATGTACACGCCAATGACAAGATTGACCAATCTCTTCAACTGGAGATACAAGATATATAACCGGAATTTCAGCACGCGATAGTATTAGTAATACTCTTTTAATACTGATGGCTGGAGGTTGTATAATGATGATGTGACAAGGGAAATAATTTATTATTAGGGGTGTATATGATTTTGAAAGTAGTTCTCTGGGTCCAGCTCACTCTGGACTTGATTACGAAATTATGAGATGGATAAAGATGAAGGTACAAAATAGACAATACAGCCTTGGAAAACAACAACTGCTGAATCAGGTCCTGTTGTTTCTATGAATAGTGTCCCAGTTTTACCTATTGGTTTGCCTGTTTGTGTAAGTAGTATTGTAAGTGGGGTTAATTGTGATATTATTGAATTATCTCTAGGGAATTTTATAAAGTAAATACTGTTGGGGCGAATGTATGGAATAGCAGAAGCCCTGTATATAATGCACACACAGTTACAGCAATTGGTATTGTGGAAGGTGTCCTTTTTGATGACCACCCACTATTTCAATCTATTCAAACAATTATGTTTATAATGGAACAAGAGATTTCCTCTTAAAATCAACATGTTATGATACTATGTCCACCTAAGGGTGGGGTAGATTGGCTGGACACTCAGTTTAGAAATATCTTGAAAATAAAACATGTTATCATGTCGAATTTTCACCCAAATACACCCCTATACTTGATTGGCTAATTTCAATTTCCCAGGACACAAGATAATAAGAAAATATAATAATAAATTTGTTGTGACGCGAATTTAATTATAATTCGTTGTAGTTTGGAACATAATGAAATGCATTTCATTAAAAATGAAAGGCAAGACAGACTTTAACATAATATTATCAATTGAATGTGATTAATAAATTTTAAATTAATACAATTGTGACCTATTTATTATAAATGAATAATAAAAAAAAAATTAGTTCTTGAAAATTTATTATTATTATTATTATTATTATTATATTATAAATTTTATCAGATATCATTAAATAATAATTCTCATCATGCAATCTATTTCTGATTTAGGCGATTATATATCATCATAAATTTAACAGAGAAACATTGAAAGGAGAAAAATTTGAAAATAAATCATTTACCTTAAATATTAATTGCGCCTAAAAAATCAAATAAACAGATATTTGTTAAATAATTATTTAAAGTGTTTAGAAATAATTTATTTATTAATTTCAAGATTTTAAATTATCTATTGGAATTGCTAAATAAAATTTCCTTTATCATTATTATAACGAATCAAAATCCAGACTAAAAAAAATCAAAATTTGATTTTTTGTATAATTACCAGTGAGTAAAGGAATTAACTCTTTACGATATTTAAAATTTCATCATCTGAAGAAGGAGAAAAGAACGTGCTAAATCAAAGCAACTCAGTATTAGTATTGCTAATAACGAGGATGGATTAAGTCGACCAGATTCATCCACATCTCTTATGTCAGAAGCTGTTATAGATTGGAATTATGCAAAACGGGAGGTGGCTCTTAATTATTTAAATTCTGGTGGTGACAACTCCAAATCCACAACTTTACCTGATGAAGATTTACAAAAACTTATGGAAAACATTAAAAAAAAACAAAAATCTCATAAACGACTATACAGTAGAAACGAACATTTTGATGATGATACAGAACCAAGAACTTCTGAGAAAATGCGTAAAACTGAAGAGATTCAACGTGAACGTGAAAAAACTTTGGAAGAGCTTGGCATTATGGTGGAGAAAAACGCAGTTGGTGTACATCTTCCAAAGAAAATCCCACATCTTGTTAATCTCAATGAAGATCCATTGATGTCAGAATGTTTAGTTTATCAAATTAAAAATGGTATAACACGTGTTGGCAAATCTGAAGCTGAAGCTCCGGCTGATATACGTTTGAGTGGTGAAAATATTATGGATGAACATTGTTACTTTGAAAATAAGGATGGTGCTGTAACATTGCATCCATGTACAGACAGTTTAACAATGGTAAATGGAATGCGTATAACTGCACCTGAAAAATTAAATTCGGGATTTCGTATCATTCTTGGAGACTTTCACGTGTTTCGATTTAATAATCCTGAAGAAGTTAGAAAAGAACGTGCTAAATCAAAGCAACTCAGTATTAGTATTGTTAATAACGAGGATGGATCAAAACCACCAGATTCATCCACAACCACTGCATCTCTTATGTCAGAAGTTGTTAAAGGTTGGAATTATGCAAAACGGGAGGCGGCTCTGAATTATTTAAATGATAATCCCACATTTATGGCTTTATCTGATGAAGATTTGCAAAAAATGATGGAAGACATTAAGAAAATACAAGAAGACCGTAAAAAGATCAGACAGTAGAAACGAATACTTTGATGATGATGCAGAATCAAGGACATTTGTAGTTCTTTAAGCTCAGTTTACGTTTCTTTTCTTCAGTCCTATCGTCAGGGATAACAAAAGTACCAAGAAATACCATACACTTAATATTCTTTACTTCACAAAATAAAATACTTATATGATCTTAGTCTATATCAAAAGCTTGTCTCAATATTTGTACTAAATTTTAATATCAATGTTTTATTTAAGTTTTAGTGAAGGAGAGAGATTAGCATTCTATTTATAAATTCAAACATCCAACGGCATTCACGATATTCATACCGTTTATGGCATGTTATTCATAAAAGGATTTTTGAATAATGTTTCGATTTCTCAACATTGGTTTTTTATTTTTCAGGTTAAATAATTTCGGTTTAAAAATTAACTTCGCGGCCAACATCTATTACTTCATAGTTATTAAAAAAATGATATTACCAATAATGTTTCAAAAATTTGATGGGCTATATATATTATGCTCACTTAAAATCTCTTCAGTGTTTCATTTTTAATTATCAAAGATATTACTTGACTTTTTACCCACTTTCTTGCCATCTGAAAGTGACACACGCATTTTGTGTATTGCAATATGTAAAATGGGATTTAGTGTGACATCTATCTATATGTGTTATTAGTGGTCCTCTCGTAATTACATATTTTAAATTTTCCAAAATGAGTGGGGGGAATATAAAAGTAGTTGTCAGATGTCGTCCTTTAAATTCAAGAGGTAAGGAAATAAACTCTTATCATAAAACTGTTCTTTCGTTAATGGATTGACACGCTAGAATAAAAATTATCATTTAAAAGAATTTTCATCAAGTGTAATTATGATTAAAAATAATTTTTTTAATAGAAATTGCTCGAGGGGCAAAATGCCTCATCAGAATGGAGGGGAATCAAACTATTATTACCAGGCCTGATGGTACTGATCCAGCAAATGCAAAAAAAAGAGACGCTGGTGATGATGTTAAAGCATTTACTTTTGATAAGTCTTACTGGTCTTTTGACAAAAGGGATCCAACTTATGCTACTCAAT